TTTAAATAAAAAGGTCTTTACCTGGCGCCGAAAAACCAGTAACGACGGTGCCAGGCGGACCTCTTTGGGGAGTGAATTCCATAGGTTGGGCGCCACCGCAGAAAAAGCCCTCCTCCGGGTACTTACTCCCCTAATTTCTTTCATGGAGGGTTCCCGGAGACGGGACTCTCCCGCAGATCTCAAAGGGCGGTCGGGCATATACAGACGTAAGCGCCCGTTCAGGTAGCCAGGACCCAAGCCGTTTAGGGCTTTATAGGTCATAATCAACACCTTGAATTGGGCCCGGGCTTCAATGGGAAGCCAGTGAAGCTGACGGAGGACTGGAGTCATGTGAGCATAACGCCCCGTCCCCGTCAGCAACCTGGCAGCTCTATTTTGCACCAACTGAAGTGTTTGGACTGTCTTCAGGGGAAGCCCCACGTAAAGCACGTTACAGAAGTCTAGGCGGGAAGTCACCAGCGCGTGTGTCACCGTCGCCAGGCAGTCGTACTCCAGGTAGGGGCGCAGCTGATTAATCAGCCGAAGCTGAAGGAAGGCGTTCCTCGCCACCGCTGTCACCTGAGCTTCCAAAGAAAGCTCCGGGTCGAGGAGTACTCCTAAGCTGCGGACCTTATCCCTTAGAGGGAGTGTTGCGCCATTCAGGACCAGGTCAAATCTACCCTCTCCGAAACCCGATCCGCCAACCAACAGGACCTCCATCTTGTCTGGGTTGAGTTTCAGTTTATTTGCCCTCATCCATTCCCTTACCTCGGCCAAGCACCGGTTCAGCACAGCCACTGCCTCACCTGGATTAGTGGAAAACGACAGGTAAAGCTGGGTATCATCAGCGTATTGATGATTCCACAGCCCACTCCTCCTGATGACCTCTCCCAGTGGTTTCATATAGATGTTAAATAGCAGAGGGGATAGAATGGAGCCCTGTGGTACTCCATGGCATAGCTTCCATGACGTAGAGACATGGTCCCCCAGCACTACCTTCTGGAATCGACCGTTGAGATAGGAGCGGAACCACTGCAGAGCAGTGCCTCCAACCCCCAGTCCTGCAAGTCTATCCAGAAGGATACCATGGTCGATGGTATTGAAAGCCGCCGAGAGGTCCAGAAGAACCAACAGGGATGTACTCCCCCTGTCCTTCTCCCTGCACAGGTCATCATACAGGGCGACCAAGGCAGATTCAGTACTGTACCCGGGTCTGAAGCCGGACTGAAAAGGATTAGTTGTAATGCATTTATGATCAGATTTTGTCCTGTTTGAAATCCTGAGCACAAATGTGAATGGAAGTGCTTTTCGCCAGCATGTGATGGTGTTCAATACTGTTGTCACTGACTGCTGCTACACTCCAGCATTTCATTTTTCAGCCCTTCCTGGAGAAGTCAAGGATTAAAGTCAAGGAGAAGTCAAGGATTTGTCATAGTCAGATCACCACCAGCTGAGATTTAGACTGATGGCAGCTTTTCCCCTCTGCAAGAGTGAAGAACCCATTAAGATGGTCTGTCCCCAGAGGCTTATGGATCCAGATGTTTTCCAGAGAACTTTGGGGGATTTTCCTGCTGACATGGCTGACGCTCCTGTTTTCCAGCTGATTGCTGGTTGTGCTGTGGAATGCAAAAAAAGACGTGGGCAGTTGATATGATTGCCCCTAAACACTCTGTTGTAGAGCTCAGCAGCTCCATGGCGCACCTTGGAGGTGAGAGCAATGAAACAGTTGAGGAGATGGCAAGGGTGCAGGAGCAGGAAGACTCCCAGTGAAGGCAACAGAAACCTAGTATGTGTTTGAAACTGGGTATTTTTCGAGATAGCGAGGGAAGCAAAGAAACAAAATCTCACTGCCTCAATTCATTTTTCCCTCAGCCACCCAGCAGAGCTTTGCAAGGTTGCCCAGGGCTGCATTCTGGCCCCAGGGACATCTTGGAACCAACTCAGGCCCTGTGTAATTTCCTTAATGGGAACTTCCAGGGAAAAAATTGTCTGCATCTGCTAGGGGTTGGACTCCAGAGTTAAAGCAGCTGAATCTGTGGAGATATCCAGAGCACAGTCTGGTCTGCTTTTACTGACTGAGTTGCAGTGCCTGGCTGCAGCAACGGACGGGATGAGGGCTAGCAAGCTGAAACTCCATCCAGGCAAGACTGAGACCTTGCTGGTGGGTGCTTCCTCTGACTGGATGGAGGGGGTTCAGCCAGCTCTAGATGAGGTTGCACTCCCCCTGAAGGGGCAGATTTGTAGCTTGGGGTGCTTCTTGACCCATCATTCTCACTTGAGGCTTAGGTAGCCTTGGTGGCTCACAGTGGCTTCTACCAGCTTCAGCTGGTGGCCCAGCTATGACCCTGTCTGGACAGGGAAAGCCTGGCTTATACTCAAGCAATTTCTAAGTTAGAGCAATGCAATGCAGTCTACAATGGGCTACAGTTCAGAAGCTCCAGCTGGTATGGAATGCGGCGGGCAAATCAATAAATGAGCCCTACCCAAATTTGCCATCTTTTTGGTGCCAGTTAAGTCAGCCCTCTGTGCCAAGGCTTTGAAAGACTTTTCGGGACACCCAGGGGCTTGAGGGGATTGGCCATCCTGGGTATTTTACAGAGCCTTTCTTTGTTATTGTTTTGTTTTAGTGGTTTTAAACTTCTATGGTATTCCTTATTTTATATATATCATTTATTATATTTTTATTTATATTTATATTATGTCTTATGGGCTGCTATATATCGCTCAGAGAGCTTTGGCTGTGGGACAGTCAAAGTAATTATCAAGCGGGGGTCCAGGCAAAGCCTGCTGTCGGCACTGAGCCATGGCTCCCGCATTTCTCTGCTCACCAAATCTTCCTTTCCTCCCTCCCATGAATTGGCATGGAGCAGGGCCCTGGTAGCTGTGACTCCTCTTCCAAGGTTCCCTCTGAGCTTGACCATTTCCCATTCTTGGGCACCTTTTAGAGAAAGTCAGTTTAACAACTGATTTACCAAAAGGGTAGACAGAAACTTTTTATACGGAAAAGAGCTACTGGATTGGGGATAGTTCAGCTGAATGAAGTGCACACAGAGGCCAGTTGTACGAAGAGAGCACGCACGCACAATCACACACAGGGTTCAGCCAACCACTAGGAGGATAGGTCTATCTTCAGTACAATATTGTGTGTAAGCAGTGCAAGTTCCAGGTTTTGGAGGGACTTGGGCAAGGCAGCCTCAAGGAGCCCCTCCCTCAGGCCATGTCCCCTCTCACTGCCATTGACATGAGCTGCAATTGCTGCTCATCTTCCTCATCATCCACATAACGCTGGGAGCCATGAGCAAGCAGGAAACAGTAACCCCTGCTTCCCTTCACCACCACTATTGCTTGGGCTACAGGAAGAGAAGGTGAGCAAGGAGGTTGCAGTGGAGAAGAGCAGAAACACCTCCAGCATCTCCTGGCCAGGTACCCAACCCAGCCCTGATGCTGGCCCACTCTGTAACAGTTGTACTTGACTTTCCCTGTAGAAGTGAATAGCCAGCATGCAGTTCTATGGGACTACCTGAAAAGCCTCTCCCAGCACTGCTAGCCAGGTGAGGCCCTATCCTGCTTCATTCTCCTGCCGAGACCACCTTCTGCAAATCCAGCCTGCTGCATTCTCATGAGCAGTCCTGTCTGCCCTGGCAGCATCCCATACTGGCTCCGCATACTGGGAATGGGGTATCTTTCTCCAGCTATGATGCTCTTGCTCTTCATCTGGTGTGGCAGGGGATGCAAGATTTTCCCAATGAGACACACAGATAGGGAGAGCATGATGGATTGATAGACGCTCTGAGAGAGATGCCAACACAACTGCAGCATTTTGCCGGGAACTGTGGGGCCGGGCTGCTGGGCAGACTCTGCTCTTGGCTTGGTACTCCACTGTGGGACACAAACAACAGATCCCAGCCATGGAACGGTGCCCTCCTCCTTCGCTGCGGATTTGCATTTGCAAAACAAGTGCCCGTGTGCCCTGAATGTTTCGAAATCCCAGAAGAGACGGGCGAATGGGAAGAAAACCTGTTAGCTGCCATATAGGCTGAACCTCCGCGGCCGTCCCTGCACAAAGACGCTCTCCTCCTTTGCCCCCCCCCCCCAGGTTCGCAGTCTCTTCATTATTAAGAATAGTGTGTGTATCCTCCTGGCTTCTGGACTACCCCCACCCATCCTCCTTAGCCTGGATTCTGTGAACAGTGAGGCCAGGAACAGAACAAATAGAAAGAGAATGCTAACGGTGGGCAGAGGAAGGAAAAAACAAAAGTCAGTTGGGAAAGGGAAAGACTCGTCGCTTTCCCTCCCGCATCTCCTTCTGTTATGACAAATGATCCCCCCCCCCCCCGCCGCCCTCGCCCCGGTTCCCTTTTGATGGCCATTTGTTTCTTTCTCGCCTATCATTTTCCTAATGATCCGAGCTGTCCGGAGCGACACGGAGCGAAGCAGCAGCTCCGGGATCCGGAGAGCTCGAGGAGCCCTGCTCTGCCATCGATTCATTTGTGACTAAAGAGCAGAGAGACCTTTCGGAAGAGGACTTTGCCACTTAGGAACCGGGCAGCTGCTGGGCGCTCGCGGTGTCCCTGGGATCTACCCGAAGACTTGGAGGCAGCGAAGGGGGGTGGGGGGAGAGGAAAAATCCTTTGCTGGGAGACGCTGAGAGCACATGGTGAAGAAAGGGGAGACTACAGAAGAGGGGCCGGCTGCGTCTCTCTGCTGAGATACAACAATGAGAGGGAAATGAGCTTGGAGCGCTCGGTTTGTGTGCGTGTGAGAGTGTGTGTGTGTGTGTGTGTGTTTGTGAGAGAGAGAGAGAGAGAGAGAGAGAGAGAGAGAGAGAGAGAGAGAGTCACACACTCTGTTTCGAGTGAGTGAGGGAGAGGAGGGGGCTCTCTCTCTCTCTCTCTTTCTCTCTCTCTCTCTCTCTCTCAGAGCTCAGTTAATCCTGTTGTCAGTTGGTGTTAAGGCAGCGATCTAAACGCCGGATTCCAAGAGGAAGAGACACCCGGCATAATAGAGGGAAGAGAAGAGAGGACCAAACGAAAGAATAACGAACAAGAAAAGAGGACAACAAATAAAACCGAAGGAAGGAAGGAAGGAACCAGAAGGGGAGGGGGCGGAAATACCAAATCTATGCTTGGACCTGGGCTTCTTTCTCGCCAATGCAAAAGGGAATATGCAGCACATTTTTGCCTTCTTCTGCACCAGTTTCCTAGGGGCAGTGTTGGGGGTCAATTTCCCCAGCAACATCCAGATAGGTGAGTGAGCACCCGCGTCCTTCCCGTGCTAAATGGCTTCCCCTGGGCGGCTGCGCGCGCGAGCGTGATCTGACCCCTCCATCGCCCCGCTTGTCAAGGAAGAATGTGGGGCCGGGCCGGGCGACGTGGCGGGGAGCGCCCCGGCTCTGGGACCGTGGCGGGACCCCGAGGCGGGATGGTTCTCCCGGCGGGCGCGCCGAGTGCCCCGGACGCTGCGGCCGTGCTTGCCCCGCACCTGGGACTCGGCGCTCCGGGGCAGAGGGGCCGGGCTGCGAACCGCCTTGCCCCCCCCGCCCCCGCCCCGGGGGGCGGGGGCCTGTTTCCTCCTGCCTGCAGGTGGACGCACCTGACTGGGGCGCGTGGCGGGGAGGGGGCTTTGTTGTTGCCGCGAAACAAAAGCCGAGCGACGCCAGGGAAGTGTTGCATCCAGTCCGTTTCCGCTGCATGCGCCTACTTGTACCACGCCAGCTGCCATCACGGGCAGTTTCTCTCCATTTGTCGTCGTCTCCTCCTCCTCCCCCTCCTCCTCTCCTCGGTTCAGTCTCCCCCCACCCCCCCCCCCCAGTTTCTCCCCACTACACAATGGATCGCATTGCCTATTGACTCCCGTGTTCCCTTTATGCCTCGCTCTTCGCGGCGCCGATTGCTGGCTTGTCACCCTTGTGCAGACAGAGGAGGAGAGCGGGCGGCGGGCGGGGGACCTCCCGGGCTAGCGCCACTTGCAGCATCTCGGCGCTTTTATTGCTGTTTCACCATCGCGTGTGGGCATCCTTGTTTTCCGTCTCCCTTCGGGGGCTCTGCTTGAAACAAAGGTGAACCTGGGAAATTCGCAGCCTGGAATTGCTCGCACCTTCCTTGGCAACAGCACCTAAAACTGGGCGTCAGGGGCGCACAAGCTTCTGCTTCCCCAGCTCCAAGGATTGTGCAGGTCACTGCATATGCCAAACAGCCTGCTTCATAGTGCTGGGCTACCCTTAATGCTTTTGATCTCTTGCTTTGGGGATTTAAATGAAATGGGACTCATAAATGCTAATAAATAATAGTAATGCTATATTGTAGCTAGTTATTTACTGTACCAGTGCCTTGATTGCATACCTGCACCTAGGGAAGTAACGTTCCCTTTGCATTTCTATTAAAACTAAATGTGCACCAAAACCACGTAACCGAAATATGAAAGTGCGCATAGGAATGGCCGGAGCGCAACCTTCCAGGGTGAATGAAGTCCCTGTTTGGATGCATTTGGACACTTCCGTATCTTACCGCGCCATGCAGTCCTTCTAAGGCCACTAACTAAAACAACTCAATCGCCAGTAGTGCTCATAAAGGCCAGGTTCTGGGTGGGTGTTCTGCTGCCTGCTCCCTATTAACAGTGCAGGTAACATCTGTGCTGACATGGGACATGCCTCTCCGGACACAGAGAGCACGACTAAATAGACCTATTCCTTTGCAGCTCTCATTCTGGCCACCCTCCCCATCTCCTTGTGAGCATTGCCCAAGGAAGAATGACCATAATGGCCATTCTTTGTTCCTTCGCTTTAAGTTCAACTACTTGTTGAGTAAACATCTGTTTGTTGTAGGCAAATGTGACAGATTCCAAGCCTGTGCAAAGCCTGTGAATGTGTGTGTGTGTGTTGGGAGGGGTGGGTGTCATCCTAATCCTTCTCCTCCAGAGCACTCATTTTTAACATTTAAAGCAATGCCAGGAAAGAGGCCCGGGAGATTAACCCCTGGTTCTCCCTGCAATCTACTCTTCATTGATGAACACACTGAGAAGGCTTTAGGAATCTGGCACATTATGTTATACATAAGAATCAGGTGGCACAGGATCCTGGAAACTTGAACCAAATTGCATTGTTTAGGACATGGTCCTATGCATGTTTAGAGGAAAAGACATCCTGCAACTTCCAGCTTTCCCCAGCTGGCGCATGGCTCTAGTCTTTAGGGTGCAATTGGACTCTCTTTGGCTTGTTTGCTTTTTGCTAGAAGAGGATAATGTAATTCCCTTTTGACTAGTAAAAGAGCTAGCAAAGTAGATTAACAGTATGCTGAGATGCAGAGTGCTATTCTCAACTAATGTTCCGTGTATGCTTTGTTTTTCCCTCTCCTTCTTCCTTTCTGTAGGGGGATTATTTCCTACTCAACAGTCCCAGGAACATGCAGCTTTTATGTTTGCATTGTCTCAGTTCACAGAGCCCCCCAAGCTGGCTCCCCAGATCGATATTGTGAATATTAGTGACAGCTTTGAAATGACGTACACCTGTAAGTAGTGGTCATCCACAGGCTAACTTTCTCTCTCTCTCCTGGCTCATCTTCCTCTTCTGTCTGATTCATCTATGCAGGGACTGTTGGTTTAAAATTAAAGCTCTCTATCAAGGTTATGAGATTTTTAGAAGAGAGTCTTTCCCCTTCAAGTTATTTATTTTGAGATTTAGGCATCTTGGGGTGTGTGTTTATTTTAATTGCAGTGTCTTCAGCATTCCTCAAATGTTGTGTTTGGTTTGGTTTTCCTAGGTGGCTGTGGATCACTTAGGGCCCAAATGTGTGACAGAGACTGAGTGGAAAAGGAAGTGGGATGCATGAATTATTCCATTCATTTTTGATAGCTACACCTTAGCCAGGCAGCATTAAAAGAAAAGGGAAAAAAGGAACAGTTATCTGAGGATAGTTGGTGATGCAAGCTAGTGATGTAACGAATCTTGAAAGCAAGGTGAGAAGGCTGAACTCAAGCTGTTATTCTTTATCCTGGGCAGTTAAAGTGTTGCTTAGAATAAAAGGCACTAGCAAAACATTTTATAGAAGCCTTGTGGAACATTGCTCCAAAGATCAGTATGGTAGATAGTTTTGTTTGCCAGCAGCAGGGTGGAAGCCAAAATATTATTTTGCCAGGTCAATTTTTATCCAGGAATGCTCATAAAAGAAACAAAGAAAGCAAAATCTGTAGTCTTAAAATACTGGAATGCTGTTTCACTGTACTTGTTGCAAATATATGCTGTAATTCTCAGAGACAAGCATTTGATTTGGTAGTATGATAATTCATTAGCTTATGCTTTTAATGAAGGGGAGACACACAATGAATCTGTTCGTTGTTTGGAGCTTATCTGTTGAACTAGACATGATCTAGAAGTGGAATACCTTTAAATTCTTTGCAGCCTTGCCCTAGACATCTGAGTCAATAATCCTGAGATTCCCCTGTACCAGCCAGAGAAGAATCATACATGTGTATAGTTTTCTGTCTAAGAGCACATGGTGGCATGCTATTGGTAAACAATGTATGGACATCCATCCATCCATCCATCCATCCATCCCTGTTGCTCTGTTACTATACTAATTTCCAGATGGTGGGACTAGCTTGTGTTTGTAATAGATGGCAAAATAACAGGGAGCTAAAGGAGTGTGGCATCAGGGTGGAAAGATAGATCAGAATTGTAGGTTTTGGGTGTATGTGGTTTTATCACAGAGAGGAAGATGGCACTTTTCTTGACCGGAGAGGAAGCTTTGACTTGCTGGAAGCAAGCTAATGGAGCCAAATGAACAGTGGCAAAACAAGGCAAACCCCAGAGGGATGCAGTGCTGCTAAGCTAGCTGATAAAAACGGGGACAATTATTGGCAGTCATTAGCCGGAATCATGTTGTTATCTTCGAAAACAACATTCAGCCATCCCCCATCCATCTTCCCATTCAGTCAGTTCTTGACTTTCTGCAGTTAACTAATCTTGTTGGCGTTTGACCTCGCAGTACCATCAGTTGTGTCAATGGGTGCCAGGTAAGATCACTGTGCAGTTGTGCATGTGGATTGGCAGCCCCACCTTCTGATAGAGCGCTGTAATTGTGCCTAGTTAATCACTACAGCTTTGCATTGTGATCACAATGACAAATGGTAAGCAATCCATTTCCCCTTCCCACTTCCTAAGCGAACAATCACTTTGGCCAGCTTTGTATTAGATTTTGGCTTCTGGCCTTTGAAAGTTAGACTGTAAGAGGTGTGGAAACAGGCTCATGCAATCTATTTTTTTAACTGTTATGCTGAGGTCTACCAACCTGTGAAAAAGACTAGAAATTCAAGCAGGCTGATCCCAGTACATTTTTTGGTGTGCCAAAACTGCATGACACTCACAGAACAAACTCCTTTCTGTCAACACACAGCATTCTTCATTTCAGCAGTATAATGTAGAGTGGGAGTATTTACAGATATAGTGGTGAATATACTAAATGTCTGCTAGTATGTCTAGTTCTGTATTCTGCCCACTCCTACCCTGCGCTCACCAACTGCATCTATTCTCACTGCTCTTCTTAAATTAAAAGCTTCCATCATGTACTCTGTGAGTTGTAGGAAGTCTTTGTTTTGATCAACAGTGACTGTGGCTGATGACATTTGTGCCTAGCCTAAAAAGTGTACTAAGAACCCCCTCTCCTTTCTATTTCTCTCCTATAAGTGCTAACAGCAGTAAGAAAACTCATCATAATTGCCTTTTGTTCAGTTATAAAATCTCTGGTTGCTCTGGTGAGCTTTTTCATTTCATAATGTAATGTAAATGTGGAAACATCTAGGGAAAAAAATATATTTTGTTTCTATAGAGATGGGGAACATGAGCTTTGTTGTATTGTTATTGTTGATGTTTCTTTCTTACATGAATTACCGTTGTATCCAGATACCTTGTCAGTATCTTTAATATATTGATATCTTCAGCTATTCATAAAGCAGGTCTCTTTTTTGACAAGAATTATGATTTAATGCCTCACAATAGTAATGGGAAAAACATGGGTGCCTACACCCCTGTTTCCCTTGTAAGGCTAATTTCAATGCTAGCCTGAAGGAACTTGGAAGAAAGTACCAGCAAGCCATGGAAAGAGCTAACCTGATCTTTCTTATTTATTTATTTGAATTTGTTTATTTAACTTTTGTAGCACCCAACACCTAGAGCTTTAGTATCATGGTACAACAAATAGCCCCGTGATACTAAAATAAGTATAAAATGCTCATAATGCAGAATTTTAAAACAGTCTAAAAGTTTTTAAACAATTTAGCAGCTAAAACAATATTTTACACAGAGCAGATTGTTAAAAACACTAGACATATGTAACCCCATTAGTCACTGCTACCCTGACCAATTGGGTGCCCATGTCTAGTGTTTTAATGTCTTTGATGGCTGTTCCCTTGTCTGTTTTCTGCAGCAAATGCAGGACTCTTGTTCTCCCCAAGCTGAGCTCTGTAATCAGATGGGCACTTGGGCTGGAAGGGAAGACAGCCTTAAGGTGGCAATTACTAAGCAGAAACAGTTGAAGTAATGAAGGCAGTTGCCCACCTCTCCCACTGGGCCTCCGATCTTCCCCAGAAGTATCTCCATGAGTTTGGAGAAGTAGGAAGTGGTGGAAGGCTTAGACCACACGCTACTGAGATTAAAATTGAAGGGCATAACATTAGAAGTCAATGTTGGATCTGTCTTTGCAGAAATGGCTACTACGCTGGTGGTTGTAGCAAGTAAGCCCCACTGCCAATTAGGCAGGGGTGAGGATTTTGTTCTAGTGCATTGTTGTAAAGACATACAGACATCTGCAGGTTTTTTTATATGGGGAAGAAAGAACTTGGGATGTTGAGGGGGTTGTTCATTTGTTTGTTTCATGATTGTAGGAGAAACCAAAATTGACAGCTTTGTCCATCCAGACCTTGGACTTTCAGATCTCTTAAAAGCCTAGCTTTGAATCCCTGCATATTCAACCATTTTAGTGCTGTGGAGCTGAAGTATGGTGGCCACCTCCTTTTCCTAACAGACTTCCTATCTTTTATGACAATATTGCCAGGCAATTACATCAAGGTTCTCTCCATGCTCCATCTACTGAATTTGGCTGGTGCAGATGGGTGAGGATTCAATTTCAGTTCACTTTTTGTAAGTCTTTATCAACATTTGCCAAGTTGAGATTCAGGAGAGAGAGAGAACTTGAGCTTAAAAAAAATGAAAGCAGAAAGTAGAGGGAAGCAAAACTGACAGATTCCCCATCCCTATTGTAAATGTGGGAAGAACTTGAGAGTCGGCATTCTAACAACAGTCTAAAACAGCCTTCCCCAGCCTTCCCCAGATGGGTAGAACTACAGGTCCCATCAATCACAATAGGCATGAGTCACAGGTGTGGCAGCTGGACAGGCTGGGAGCTACATTGCAACCTCTCTGGTGGAAACCAGATTGGAGAAGGCCAATCTTAAAAAGAGGGTGTCTCTTGAGACTAGGGGCAATGTTACTTTGAGCTCAATGGAATTGCCCTTTGGAAATGTGCCTTCCTTGCCCACATACAACTGTTTTGCATGTAGCAGGAATTTAGGACGACTATTCCCTGACCACCAGTGCTGAACGGGCAGGGCACAGTATAAAAGACATCCACTGCCATCTAGCCAGTCACAGCAAAATGGAATCACAAGTGAGATGCGGCAGTACTGATACTGAATGCCGGCAGAGCATAAATCAGAAGCAATAACAGACTCTTGTATGGTTGCCATGCCACCATCATAAAGCAAGAATAAGCCAGTTAGATCTGATGCATTTATATTTTGACTACTCACACAGTGATGTTGGCTACTACCTTATCCAAAATGGTCCTGGCCTCAAGGAAATTGGCCACGGATGCCATTTGTCGGTCCCTTAACATGACAGCAAGAGTGCTGCAACCTGTTCATCTAAAAAGTAAATACAAAGATCTGAGCGTTTTAGATTGTAAGCATCTATCTCACACCAACATAGATGTATGAAAGGTTACATGCCAACTTGGACCCCAAAATATCTGTTATGGTGGATTTATTCTTCCCTTATAGTTATATGGATGTTCATAATGACACTGAATTAAAAGATACTCCTTCTCACTGAGATTTGTGCCCAAGAGACTAATTTCTTCTTCTCTAGGGAAAGCCCTATCCTTGCACCAAAGCAATTTATACTCTAATTTTGGGACTGAGTCTGGTAGTAACAAGATTTGTTCTGAAACACAAAAGCTAAAGAGCTTACTGGGGGTCCCCTTTCTTTTATTTATTTCTTTGTTTAAGGTTTTTGTTTACTACTGTCTTGGCAAGGCCTCTTTTCACGGATATTAGGAGCTCACCACTGCAGAAGACACTGCATTGTTGGTTTGCCAGGCAAAATTCATGTCATACAGCATAAACCATGAAATGGGATCCGGGAGAGCCACCATAATGAAATATGAAAGTGTGAAAATGAAGTAAGTGTGCACATTGGCCTCTAAGATCAGAAGCAGCAGAAGCAGCTTAGCTGCAC